CGTCAGCCGGCCCGCCTCCGGCCTTCCGCACCGCACAGCACCGCCCAGTGCCGCACTGTACTGCTCTGCACCGCATAGCACTGCACTATACCACTCTGCACCGCACAGCACCGTGCTGCACCGCACTGTACCGTTCTGCACTGCACAGCACTGCACTGCACTGCACTGTACCGCTCTACACCGCACAGCATCGCACTGCACCGCTCTGCACCGCACAGCACCGCACTGCACCGCTCTACACCGCACAGCACTGCACTGCACCTGCACAGCACTGCACCCCTACTGCATCGCTCCTGATGGCGGACTCCGTGCTCCGCTTCGACGAAGAGGGTCAGCCGCTCGAGTTTGACACGTGGCTGGTCGACCTCCGCCATCACCTCACTGGCCAGCGGCAGGACGGCCACTCCCTGGCAGTCCACCTTGACGGTACGCTCCCCTGCCCAGACCCCCCTGCTCCCCTGCCTGCTGACCCCTCGTCCGCTGACCGTGAGTCCGCCGCAGCTGCTGCCCTTGCCCGCTCTGTCTGGCTGTCGCGTGACGCCGTCGCCCAGCTTGCGATCAGTCATGCCCTCCCCTTGTCTGAGCGCCCCCGCTTTAGGTCAGTCATGATTGCACATGAATTCCTTGATGCCGTGGTCAAGCGTTATTCCACCCCTCCTGCTGCCTCTGTAGGTCACCTGATCCTACCGATGCTTTTCCCTGACCTTGCGTCTTTCCCTACTGTCGCTGACCTCGCTGCTCACGTGCGCACGATAGACGCGACCTGGCGCGCTGCCTGCACTGAGACCTAGCTTCCTGCCGCTGCTCTCTGGCAACTGGCCCGCCCCTCTGCTCTGCCCTCTACCTGCTGGCCACCTGCCTCCCTGACCGTCTTGCTACTGCCCGCGACCGCTTCCTTAACATCCACCCCGGTGACCTCACCCTCACTGACTTTGTCGACACCCTGTCTGCCATAGAGACCCGCCAGCGCTCTATCGCCCAGACCAGCGGTACTATGCCGGTCCCTATCTTTCAGGGTTGTGCCCCTGCTCAGTGCACCTTCTCCGACGGTTCTGCTGCTGTGGCTGAGTCTGCCGCTGCAGCGCAGATCCGTTCCGGGAAGGGTCGCCGCCCGAAGGCTGGGCGCGGCTGTGGGAGTGGCAGTGCAGGTGGAGGTGGTTATGGAGTCGGGTTGCCAAGTAAAAGCGCTGATGAGGGGACCCTGACAGGTGCAGCCGAGCAGCCGTCTCCGCAGCTGCCGGTGTCGCAGCCGGACACGCACCAGCCACAGCAGCAGCCCTCGCACCAGCCGCAGCAGCCGCCGCAGCCGCAGCAGCAGAGGCGGGCGGGTGGTCTCCCGCCCGCGTGGCCTGGCGCAGGTGGTGGCGCTGGACGTAGTGGTCGTGCGCGTGGTGGGCTGTCGGGTGGCGTTTCGGGTGACGGACGCTATCAGTAGCAGCTCGTTTGGTAAGATCGGTCACACCTCCGTCCGCTGTTTCCATTGCCTGGATGACCTGTTTCATCAGCGCTTTGGCCCGTCGCCCAACCTCCCCGACTGGCACAGCTTGCTTCGTCGTAGTGTTCAGATCTTTGATATGGACATGGATGAGATTGTTGCTGCCTTGCATGTAATGTATGGTGATGAATCTAGTGTGACTGCTTCTTACTACCCTTTGTTGCCTAGTGTAGCCATGTCTAGTTGTGTCTCCCCTGCTGCGTCAGGTATAGGATCCCCTGCTTTGTTTAGCCTTGGCACTTTTGTCACTGCACCGACTCCGGCCGCCGCTGCTGCGCTCTCCTTCACCTTGGACTCTGGCACGTCCCGGTGTTTCTTTCGCGACTCCACTACGCAGACGCCGCTTCCTGCTCCTGCTGCAGTTTCTCTTGGTGACCCCTCCTCCGGCCCGGTAGTCGCCCGCAGTTCCACCACCCTTCCCTGTCCGGCGGTTCCTTTGGGCTCTCTTACAGGCCTGCTCATCCCCTCATTCTCCAGGAACCTAGTTGGTGCGGCCTGCTCGTGACCAGGGAACGTAGTGGAGACGCCAAGGTCCTGGAAGGCCGACATGCCTGACGTTCTCATCCCATGGCTGGTCTCTGCGCGTGTCCACCGCGGTCTCCCTGTCTTGCGTCTCCACTCCAACCGTGGTGGCGAGTTTGCCTCTGGTGTCATTGGTCGTTTCTGTCGTGCGGAGGGCATCACCCAGACGTTCATCTTGCCGGACTCCTCGCAGCAGAATGGGGTCGTTGAGCGACACATCGGTTTGGTCATGGAGGTGGCTCGCACCTCCATGATTCATGCCGGTGCACCACCTTTTCTGTGGCCGTTCGCCATTTGCTACGCCGCTCATCAGCTTAACCTGTGGCCGCACTCCCAGCAGCCGCGGGTTTCGCCGACCCTTCTTTGGTCCAGGTCTCCTGGTGACGCGTTTGCGTTCCACGTGTGGAGCTGCCTTGCTCACGTTCGTGCCTCTTGCACGGACAAGCTCACTGCCCGCACCCTCCCTTGTGTCTTCCTTGGTTTCCCCCTTGACGCGCCCAACTGGCACTTCTACCATCCGCCGTCTCACCGGTTCTTTCACTCTCGTGACGTCACCTTTGATGAGTATGTCTCTTTCTACCGCCGCTTCCCCCACAGAGGTCCCCCGGTTACTCCCCCCTTGTTCCTGGTCACCCCTTCCCCGATCGCCCCTGTCCCCCCCCCTCCCCCTCCCCGTCCTGCACCGTCTGGTGTGTCCCACGTCATCCCCCTCACGTCGGTTGTTCCAGTCAAGGAGTCTGCTGACTCTGGTGGTCCTGCAGCGCAATCCTCGCCGCCTGCCCCTCCCCAGGTGTCTCCTCCTCTGCCGCCTCCGCTGCCGCCGTCGCCACCGCCGTCACCACCGCCACCGCCGTTGTTGCAGCCGCCGCCGCCGCAGCCGTTGCCGCAGCCGTCGCAGCAGCAATTCGTTGACTCTGGGGGTGCTGGCATTGGGGTGGGTACTAGTCCTGGGGTTCCTGTCGTGCCTTGTCCCGGCGGGCCTGGGGGTGGTACCGGTGGTCGAGGAGTTTCGGGCTCTGGGGGTGTTCCTTCTGGGGTGCTGGAGTGGAGTGTTACGGCAGTAGCCGTGGAGCAGCTTGCAGTCCCGGTGTTGGTGTCGTGCCGCCGCAGCAGCAGTCGCCGTCGGTGCTCACCCTTCGCCTGCTCGGCCTTCCGTCCCCTGACCCTGGGTCTATGCCTCGCCTGTTGTCTCCTCCTCTCCTAGTCTGCGGCCCTGTGTTCCCTCCCCCGGACTCGACTCTGGCTCGTCTTCCCCCTCCTTCCCCTCCTGTGTCCCCTCCTCTGTCTCCTGACCCGACTCCTCCGTCTCACGTCTGGTCTCGCCGTCCCTCCCATGCTCGCCCCGTCTCCCCTGTCCCGCGCTCTCACCCTATGTTGCTTTGTTCCCGCGTGTCTCGTCCTCCCCTCCTACCGTCGCCTCCTCCGTCCTCTCTTGTTGTTGCGCCCCCCCCCCCTCTCCGACTACCTCCGCGCCGCTCGTCCTCTTTTTCCTCAGGTCCTTGCCTCTCTCGTTACCGACCCGTCTGTTCCGGACTCGTGTCTTGACGTTCTTGTCGCTGCAATCGCTGACTTTGCCTCTACCCGCAGCCTTGACTATGCCACACCTCATACTGCAAAATTGTGGTATGAGGCAGGCCAAGATTGGCATGCCTTTTGGCTGGGCAGGTTTACGAAACCCAAAAAAAAACCGCAGCCACTTCCTCTCCAATCCCACCCGCCGGGGGCACAAAAAAAAAAAAAAAAAACGTAGGTTTGGCTTCGCAGATTCCATGCGCGCGGGATTTGGTCGCCCGTTCCCCTCCCCGTTCCCCTCGGAAAACTTCCAGCGAACGGCCCCTAGGATCCACAGGTCTCGTCACGGTGTAGCAGTCGAAACGAACTTTGACTAGCGGAACGAAACGCGAGGGGTGGGGGGGATTGAACTTGACTGGGGGAATTGGACAAGAGAGGGGAAGGGGGGAACGGAATTGACGGGGGGAGTTGGACAAACGAGGGGTGGTAGCGCGAATCGAATTTTGGTGGGGGGCCCAGGGGGGCTTCGAAATTGGGGGGGCCAGGGGAATCGAATTTGAAGGGGCACGGGGGGCGTTTCGAAATTGGGGGGCCAGGGGGAATCGAGATCGTTGGGGGAAGGGGCGATCCAAAACGTGGGGGGAGGAGGTTGGGAAAACGTGAGGGGAAGGGGGATGAGGTGGCGATCGGGATTATCAGTACACCTGTTCTTCTATTTTGTTTTACTGTTTTTTGCACGCGGCTTGAGCCTGTAAGCAGGAAATTGTAAAACACGGGCAAAATGGGACTCAAGGGGAAATCACACAGTAAGAAATGACACTTGGTTACAAAATCTCGCTCATGCACAAGATGAGTTGCCTGCGCGACGTCCCAGCTCTGAATCTCGCAATTGTCGAAATACAACTTGGTATTTCGCTATCGTTCAGACTGCAGCCAATCAGGTTCAGTGTCAACGCGAGTCATGCTGAGAACCTGGTAGGTGAGATGGCGATTTGGACTGTTACGGGTGGAATAATAGAGGAGGAAAGGTGTACTTAAATGCAACAATCCCCCCTCAAATGTTGTCTGCAGGTAGCGAGATCTCGCCAACTCCAGCAGGCATCAGTCAGTTACCACTGTTTCAAATGTTTTATCACTCGTCACAAATTGAAGTGAATGTGTACCGCGACTTTAAGGGCGTGTGACATGGGAAACGAACAAGCCTCCAGTACGAACTTCTAGAGCAGTAAATAACACTTTTGGTAGGCCGCGGTAGAGTGGTGACGGTACGAACTTTTCGACAAAATTGAAAAAGTCACACGCCCTTATGAGTTGTGAGACGGGGGACGAGCTCAGAACTGATAGGAGCAACAGATTTCAAACGCCACTCTTTCGCATCTCATCAATCGGAAGTTCACTGGTGGGAAAAGCGAAAAACAGAATGATTGGCGAGCCGCTCCACATTTTCGCATCCCGCCTCACCACTAAGGCGAAACCCGAGATCAGGTTCTTTTTGGGTTCTGGCGATTTCAGCACATTCCGAATCAAGTTCGCGTGATAACTAGCACCGATCCATTCCATACTCTTCAACGCACCTGCCCTTCAGCAATCTGCTCTCCTCCGCAGCCTCCTCTCGTCCTTCCTTTCTAGGGCATGGAGATAGCAGATGCGTGACAACGATAATCGCCTTCGCGCCCTCATTCTCGCCCAACGCCCGCCCCTCGCGCCATCCTATCCTCTCATCGTCCCCCGTCGTTTGGTCCTCGTTTCGCCGCAGCCCTTGCAACCTTCATATATCGAACAACCACAAAGCCTTCTCAGTGGGAAACCGCATTCGTGATATCGCGGCTCGTTTTCGCTGCTAAGCTGAGCTCCAGCGTAGTGCAGCGAAACCCCGCAGTCTATCCTGCCGTCACGGGCGATTCAGCTTGGAAATCCCTAACTCAGGTTAGGCCTTCTGTCGAAGTCGGATCTCCTCGCATTCATTCCTCGCGCCCCTCACGCCAGCCTATCCTCTCACCATCCCGGCTGGCCGTGCTCGTTTAGCCGCCGCGGTCGCAACCCTAACGTGAAGAATCGGCGAGACCCTTTCGGGAGGAAGCAAGATCTCATATCGCGAAGCGCCTTGGTCTTTCTTGGCGGTTCGAGTTGCGATCCAGTCAGAGAAACCCTAAAACAGGTAATGCCTGTCCCTCTATGCCGCCGACAAATTTATTCGAGCGGCCAACAACTCCCTCGTCAACCCCTGCCCTTCTCTCCCCCGATCTTCCTCTGCCGCCCTGTTTTCGCCCCTTCCGCCTGGGCCCACATCGACTTTGAGGCGCCTAAAAAATAGCCTGTTCTCCGCTCTTCCTCCTCTGCTGCGCCCTGTTTTCGCTCCTTCTGCGCCCGCTTCGACTTTATCCCCCTAGTGCGGCTATCTCCGTTCAGCTTGCTCCGTTTCTTATCACCAAAATTGTCCCAGTGGCATTGACCGTCGACGCTGCACGGATTTGGAGCCATGAACGGTGCAGTGAACGTGCTTGCACCTACTATGTCAGAGTCTAGTCTAGGTGAAGCACTGGTTACTCGGTAACTGCTGAATTCCTGTCGCCTCGCAGCACGAATCCCAGCGACTCAAGCACTAGTCATCCCAAACAAGCCTTAGCCGCCGTGTGCAGCGGGGGGATTTTTCCCCCTAAACCTCGCCGGTACGACATTTTGCCATGCGCATCCGCATCATATTTCCAGAAAGTGAGCCCCGCCACAGCACCCGCCCATCTCATCCCTTCGCTCGCGTAATACTCTTCGTATAATGCTCTTCCCTGGACCCTCGCTCCAGCGCCTTCCCCACCCCCCTTCCCTCCCTTCCCCGTGTGGACCTTTGTCCGCCTAGCGTTATCCCTACGAATTTCCCTTAGCTCCTCAAAGCCCAGTAAAGGATAGTGTCAAACTCTCACCAGGGTTTCGGACAACGAGCGGTCCTATCCCTAGGTCGTATTGACCCAAACAGGCCATGGTAACCCTACACCGTTGTAACTCAAGCCCATGGGAACCCTAGCCCGTATTAGACCTGGGCCGTGGTAATCATATGCCGTGATACCCCTACTCTGTGGCCATGGTAGTTCTAGAACCCGTCAACGGTGACGCCAGGCCTTGGTAACCCTAGGCACGAGTCGAGCCGAGCCTGGCTCGCCTCGAGCTGGGCCCGGCTCGCTGTGCGGCGGGCCGAGCCGGAAATCCAAACCCCCGGCTCGAGGCTCGTGAAAAACAGCCGACCCAGATGCAGTCTCAAACCGAGCCGGCTTGGCTCAGCATGAACCAGGGAGCACACGAGCTGCCCCCGGCTGGTTAAGTTTATAGCGTCCGCCAGATCCGCACGGATCTGGCATTTCGCCCGCCAGAATTGCACTGCGCGTCAACTGAGCCACACGTTGGCTCGCTGTCAAGCCGACGAGCCGCCGAGCCGGCCCCGGCTCGTCGATTTTCGTGCGACGTGCCGTGAGCAGCTCGCTGCTAGGCAAGCAGGCCCTGCTCAGCTCCGGTGGCTCAGCCCATTAGTCATGTCTACCCTATTCCGCACTAAGCCATGCGATCCCACGCCATGATAACTCCAGGCTTACTGATTTAGGTCGTGCTAAACCCAGCCATGGTTACCCTAGACTGTGGTAGCCCTAGGCTGTGGCCATGATTACCCTAGGGCACGATAACCCTGGTACACATAGGCCGTGGTAACCCTAGGCCGTGGTAGCCGTAGCCCTAGGCTGTGGCCATGATTACCCTAGGGCACGATAACCCTGGTACACATAGGCCGTGGTAACCCTAGGCCGTGGTAGCCGTAGCCCTAGGCTGTGGCTATGATTACCATAGGGTGCGATAACCCTGGTAAACATAGGCCGTGGTAACCCTAGGTCGTGGTAACCCTAGGGGATGGTGATGCTAGGCTATGGCAATCCTAGGCCATTGTGATCCACGACCGTGGTAACCCTAGGCAGTGGTACAGTAGTTCTGGGCCATGACAACCTTTGGCCGTGGTGCCTCCAGGCTGTGGTATCCTTCGCAATGGTATCCCTAGGCCCCGGTAACCCTAGGTCGTGGCCATGATAACCCCAGGCCATTGACCTTAGAACCCTAGGCCGTGCACGCCTCCTCATAAACCTAGGCCACGATTACCCTAAGCTAAGCCATGGTTACTCAACTCTAGGCAGTGGTCCATGGCATTGGTAACCCTAGCCTGGGCCATGGCAACCCTAGGCCATGGTTACCCTAGGCTCGGGTAACCTTAAGCTCTGGTAAACCTAGGTTATGGTTACCCTAAACTGTGCTTGCCCTAGGCTATGGATACCCTAGGCTGTGGTATCCCCAGACGTGGTTACCCTAGGCTGTTGTAACCCTAGACGTGTTTACCCTAGGCTGTTGTAAGTTGTAACCCTAGACGTGTTACCCTAGGCTGTGGCAACCATAGACGTGGTCACCCTAGGCTGTGGTTACTCGAGACGTGGTTACCCTAAGGCTGTGGTAACCCTAGACGTGTTACCCTAGGCTGTTTTAACCATAGACGTGGTAACCCTAGGCTGTGGTAACCCAAGGCGTGGTTATCCCAGGCTGTGGCTACCCTCGGCCATGGTAGATGTGAGAATCGGCCACCCATCCTTGGTCATTTCCATCCCACCGCTCTGTACTGTCTTTTGATCACAGTTCCCATTTTTCTTGGCTGCTTTAATATCTCTTTCAGCTGCTTATCCATATAGTAGCCATTTTATGCTATGCTCTCGACACTTTACCAACAAGCTCTCGTTCTTTTTTCCCCTCGGCTAGGCTGAAATGCCGCAGGGGGAGGAGGCACTGATAAAGAAAATGAAGGCCCTTGGCGTGCAGCTGGAAGAGACAAGGAAGGAACTGGAGGAGGCTGAGAGAAGAAGAGAAGTGAACCTGAGCAAGCTGAGAGGGGGGGCTTTCAACAGGGAGAAAGAAGTGGAGGCGGGGGAAGGAGAAGCAGCAGAGCTGAGGGGGGAGCTGGGAGCAGTAAAGAGAGCACTGGCTGAACAGAAGAGTTACCTGCTGAAGATGCAGGAAGACAGGATCGCTGCAGGAAGGGAGGTGAAAGAGCTGAGAGAAGCTTTGGACATTGTGCAGGACGAGAATGAGCAGAGGAAGAAGGACTCTGCAGGAGTGAAGGGGGAACTGGCAGCAGTTAAGGGAGAGTTGACCGAGCTAAAGACCTACTTGTTGAAAATGGAGGGTGGTCCAACTCAGAGAATGAAGGCAGAAGTGGACGAGGCTCCTCCTGGGTTGAGCCAAGAGGTGAGACAACGAGGGAGGGGCGAAGGGGTAAGCAGGGAGATCGAGGACATATGCTGTAGGTATTTGATGCCCTTTTATTGCTTCTGAAGTAACTTGCAGCAAGCCTGAGCATGATGCTGAATGCGCACATGCTGTGGAATGATTCAGATGCTCATATGCACTACACAGAAACCCGCTGACCACTTCACTTGCTCTATTTTCTCTGGTTTTGCGCCTTACATTGTAAAGCAGGTCGCAGATGAGGAGTGGCAGAGGCTAGCCACGGCAGGCAAGATAGAGTTGGAGGAACTCAGAAAGGGCAAGCCAAATCAGAAAGAGACGTGGGAGGTGAGTTGGTGATTGTGCTACTTGAGTTTCCCCGAGTGCATGAAGGCACAGTGCACACCATTGGGCAGAGAGCAGACACCTGCTTTTTTCATGCGCTCCTATCTTGGAATTCCCATGAGCTGCTCCATGCATCTCCTCCTTGTACACCTTCTTCTCTTGCACCCCCTTTCTTATCATATATTGGCTTCCTTCTCACGCATTCCCTTCCTTGTCATGCCTTCCCCTCCTCATCATGCATCCCCCTCCTCATCATGCATCCCCTTCCTTATCATGCCTTCCCTTCCTTATCATGCATCCCCTTCCTTATCATGCATCCCCTTCCTTATCATGCATCCCCTTCCTTATCTTGCATTCCCTTCCACTCATGTGGCATTGCAGAGATTCCAATATGCAGCAAAGGAGGCCACTCTGGATCTGGACGAGCTCTCCCACGTGTCAGACGCCATCCTTGCCTTCGCGTGCACGCTCACAAACCTAAAGAGCCTTCACCTGGGTGAGTTCTCAGACTACAGCGTGGACTGCATCAAGTACGCCTACAGGCTGCCTCGGCTGGAGAATCTGACTCTACCCAACGTACAAGACAACGCCTTGGTTGGCATTGGGGCAGCGAGCCTTCTCAAAACTCTCGCACTCCCCAAATCCAAGGTGACTGATGTTGGCCTGCTGCACCTGACAGGCCTCTCATCACTCACAGGCCTCTGGCTTAGTAGCTGCATCCATGTCACATCTGCTGGCATGGTGCATGTCGGAAGACTGACAACTCTGGAGAAGCTGTTCCTAGATGGCACTAAAGTGAAGGATGACGGGCTGCAGCACTTGACCTCCCTGACCAAGTTGAGAATATTCACAGCACCTTATATGGTTACTGACATTGGTATGGAGCACATGAAGCATTTCACAGCGCTGGTGAAGCTGGAAATGTCCATCCCGAGTGTGACTGAGAAGGGAGTGAGGTGCTTGAAGTGTTTGCCTCATTTGAAGGAGATTACCACAGACGTAGATTGCATGCTACAATTTGAAACCACCCTTTCTCGAGTGACAGTGCGGACTCTTCCGTTGTACTGAGAACCAGTAGAGCCTTGGGCTTTGTGTTGGTTTGTTGTGTGTTACTCGTTACATTTTCTGCACGGAACATACAAATGCAGTATATGCTGTCAATTGGGTGACTACATACACACATGCGCCAATCGAGTATATCACCACAGTTGTCAGCACTTGATTTCACCACATGTGTGTTAAAATTTGTTGGAAATATCTCAAGGACTTAAGCGTTTCTGAAGTGTAACACTGTACTCGAGGAAGACTACAGGGGAGCACGCGAGTCAACGGAGGTTACACGAGGGGGCGGACAAAGAATGCGAAAGGACTCGAAAGGTCGCAACTGGAGGTTGCGACTGACCGTTACAACATCACGGATGGTAACCGAAGCGGCAATCGAGTCGCTGTGCGACTCGATAAACCGTTCCTGTAACTGTATTCTACAACTGCTTTCTTATCTACTATATATTGCTGTATGCTTGTTTCTTTAATCAATCACTTGTTCTCACATACTAGTACAAGGGTTCAACCGTCTCAACTTCCGCTGCACTACTCCAAGTCTCAAGTCTCTACAAGCTGGGACTTAGTCTCTGCAAAAGATCCTAAGGGCTTTTCTCAGCCCAACATGGTATGAGAGCTGGTCAGAGACCAAACTCCCAGCAACTACGTCCTATCAACAACCTGCAACTCAACTCAATTCAACGACTTCATTGATTACAAGACATGGACAACAAGGGCAAGAAAGTCTCTACGGGCTCACCCAGCGCCCAAGAAACTCAACACGGCAACTCTGGTCTGCACACCTCAGGACTGCAGACAGAGACCGGGACTGCTCAAGAAACAACGGGAAGAGTACCAGAGATGGTGACCCCGTCTCCCTCTTCAAGTGTGGACCCGAATCTCATGGAGAGATTCTTCAGCTTCATGTCACACTTCGATCAGCAGCAGCAGACAAGGACACCTGCGCACTCAACACAGAGCAATGGAGGGAATATGGGATTAGCGCCGATGAGCCTCGACAACTCATCCTTCGGGCGACACAATCAAGCGCCTACCTTTGCGCCTTATCATTCTTCGCCGGGGACGTTCGAATTCATGCCGCCCCGTGCCCAGCCAACAGCAGCTGCTTCACAACAAACACCGAATGAAATCTTAAGTTTACAGGCGCAGTTCTCACACGTGATTAAACTTCAGACATCCTCACCGTTCAACGGACACGACTTCTTTACCTGGAGCTTCGAGTTCGAGCTGCTGATGGAGGCCGCGCATCTTCTGGGATACTTCAACGGGTCCCTGCCATTCCCAAGCAACGGCACTGGGAAGGAACAAGAGATCTTCACGTATCAGTCGCTGCTGGCGTACACGGTACTCCTGAGAAACCTGTCACCACAAGAGCAGCAGAGCATCAGAACGTATCGGAGTTATGGAAACTCCGCGGAGCTCGCATGGCACCACCTCAAATGCCTTTACCAAGCAAACGACAGCGTGACACAAAGCAGACTCATGCAACAGCTGACAACAATACAGATGAAGACCGGGGAAAAGGCGATGCAGTATATGAGTCGCTGCCAGACCCTCCGCGACCGCCTGCTTCGGTGCGGAGGAACGATCACTGAAGAAAGCTTCGTGACACTTGTCCTCGCCGGGCTCGGGCCAGAATGGAGAACCACACGATCACTTCTTCGAGCCCACGGAAGAATTTCGGAGATGCACCTCTGCGCCGAGCTTCACGCTGAACAACAGGAGATGGATCTGTTCGAGGAAAGACAACCAAGGAAGCAACAGCAGTTAGTCTTCTACACTCAAAGAAGAAATGACAACAACTACAACCGACGCAGCAAGCAAGATCAACGTGACAACCGAGGACTCACCATCGTGCCGCCGTTCTGCCACAACTGTCAGACTTCCGGGCACTCCAAGGTCAACTGCAACCGCCCTCGCGTTTACCGTGCAGCAGACCCACAAGTCGCTTCCACTCAAGCAAGTCCTCCAAGGTGCTCTTCAACATCTGCACAACAAACACCCAACATCATCAACTGCATGGTACACATCGACAACTGCGCACCCGCTTCACCACCCACTTACGCACCAGACGAAGAGGAATTCCCGCCGCCGCGCTCGCAAGGACTTCAGGTCAACCCGACATACGCTGCAGTCGCTAACGCCGAACCCACCGGGCGGAACACCTGGTTCTTGGACAGTTGCTGCGGTCAGCACATGTGCTCCTCCGGACGCTTCGTACAACACGAGCGACGCCTCAACCGTGACGTCGTCATCACCGTCGCCAACAACGAAAACCTGAAAACAAATAGACAAGGCGTAGTTCAGTTACAATCAATGGAGACAAACGTTATTCTTCAGCTCAACAAGGTCCTCATCGTCGACAATCTGGGATACAACCTATTAAGCGTAAGCCAACTAATGGCTAAGGGGATTCACCTGGAGTGCGACTCCTTCTCCAACGAGTTCCGACTTTACCACGGGAAGGGCGGTCTCTTCATCGGTTGTGCCCTCCTGAAGTCCGGTGTCTTCGTGTTGGACTTCGTCCCCGACCGCGGAACTGCCGACAGCGACGGTATCGTATCCTTCGCCGCCTGGACTCATCCGCCAGATCTTGATCCCGACTTCGACAGCGACGGCTTCTGGCACTCCAACACCATACCTGCAGCAGAAAGAACACGAGCATTAGCAGTTATCAGACAAGAAAGACAAGTACCCGCATGTGTCCCAACAAAACCATCACCTGCAGTATCGGCAGCAGGACCCAGCCGAGTACCACCACCAGCGACACGAGGACAGCCAACCGAAGCAGACCAACTTATGCCCGCCACACGAGAAGCTTGTCGAAGTCCCGCCTCGGTCGTCGCGTTCTTCTCCAACGCCGACATCTACCACCGCTCGCCCGGTCACCGCGCTCCCGACGACATCTGGCACCAACGTCTCGGACATCCTGCAAACAGCACGATACTTCAAACAATCCAAGCAGAAGTGTTAGAACGCAACGCCCTTCTGACGACGAGCGGCCAGGAACTCCGACGACCACGCGCACGGTGTTTCACATGCCCCGAAGCAGATCTTCCTCATCAACCTTTCCCAGCCCATCACAATCCAAGCGCACCCACTTACGCTCCGATGGAAAAGGTCTACAGCGATATTCTAAACATGCCTCGAGACGACACCGAAGCCGACTTCAACTACGTCATCACGTTCATCGACGCCGCAACCAGATACGTCTGGCACTTCAATCTCAAAACGCGCGATCAAGCCTTCGAGGCATTCACCACATGGCTTCCAATCGCCGAACGAGAGTCAGGAACCAAACTCAAGAGTTTCCAGTCAGACGGTGCACTGGAATACCAGTCACAACGCTTCAGGACCTATCTCGCGGAAAGGGGAATCCGACGCCTGGTGTCTCTGCCCTATGCTCACCAGCAGCAGGGGGTAGCAGAACGCATGAACCAGACCTTGCAGACGACGATGCGAAAACTGCTTCTGGGGATGAGGCTGCCCAACGCACTGTGGCCAGACGCGATGACACATGCAGTCCACCTGCACAACCTGTTGTCCTCGTCATCGCTCCCCAACAACGCATCACCACACCTGCTGTGGACGGGAAAAAGGGGCAGCACAAAATTACTTCGAGTTTTCGGCTGCATGGTACAATACAGACCCCACACAGCTCGAGCAGGACGCTTCACTCAACGAGCTCGGTGGGGACTACACCTCGGCATCGCCAAACATTTTCACGCGTGGAAGATCCTCGACATACAAGACAAAAATACGGTGGCATCACGTGATGTTATCTTCTACGAGCGACTGACGCTGCAGCATTACCTGGACAACATTGCCAACTCAGACGACCCCACCGACGGCTTCGCGAGCCTTCGCTCCTTCGCTGACCATGCTGCCGAGGCTGACGCAGCAGAAGAAGACGTACCTGGAGCCTCGGAAGCTGCCGGGCCACTCCCATTCTGTTCCATACCTGTTCCACTCGATGAAGATAATCCCCTCGATAGCAACAACCTCGACACCTTTTACCACTTCGCCGACCAAGGTTACGCTACACCGCACCCCGTCGACACGAATATTTCGGAACGCATCGGCCCCAATTTCTTACCTGACCCCGAAGACGGTGACGAAGCAGCTTATTCGGGGAATGACAATTCCCCTCGACACACACCCACGGGACTCCAGATTCTAGGCCTCTGGGTCTCCGTCCAGCATCCGCCGCCGCCTTCTACGCGTGAGCCTTCAACCTTGTCGCAGGCTCTGGGGGGGGAACATAAGGCAAAATGGAAAGAAGCGATGGAAAAGGAGTTAAAAGCTCTGCAAGACCGAGAAACATGGAAACTGGTACCTGCAACGAGCATCAACGGGAAGAACGTTCTCTCGGGGAAATGGGTGTACCGCATCAAGACCAACTCAGACGGCTCCATCGAACGATTCAAAGCTCGATGGGTCGTACGAGGCTTCGATCAACGATACGGAACCGACTACACAGAAACCTTCGCCCCAGTCTCCCGTCACACCTCATTACGCATCCTACTCGCCGTCGCGGCCACAAAAACACTACCACTACGCCAAATCGATGTCGCGAATGCGTTCCTATACGCACCTGTGGACGCTGAGATCTTCGTCGAACAACCCCACGGATTCATCGACGACCCCACGAAAATATGCCGACTGACAAAATCCCTATACGGGATCAAGCAAGCCCCGCGGCTCTGGCAGCAGCATCTTCACAGCCGTCTCGTAAAAATCGGCTTCCTACAGCTGCCGCATGACCAAGGGATGTACCGACTGCAGAAGGGAAGAGAGTATGTTCTGCTCATCGTCTACGTCGACGACCTGCTCTACATCGGCTCAACTACCGACATCGCCACCTGGTTCGAAGGGGAGCTGAAAGAAGATTTAACTCTCACGGTGTCCGACGAAGTTACGCAGTACCTAGGACTGAACGTCGTCGAAGACGACACGGCGTTCTACCTACACGCTGGAAAGTACTCAAGCACCGTCGCGAAGAAATTCGCTCTAACACCGACTGCGGTCCCAACTCCCTACCGCTACGGGAACAACAGCAGCGCCTCTACAAAACTCCCCGCGAAACAAATCCAGGAGTATCAACAGAAGCTCGGCTGCCTACTATTCGCAGCAGTAACCTGCCGACCCGACCTATCCTATAGTGCGAGTCAGCTGGCGACACATCTGAAGCATCCGCAACAGGAAGATCTCGAAGAACTCAATCGAGCGCTACTCTACTTCGTCTCCACGCCGACGATCGGGCTTACCTACAGCAAGGCAACAACACCGTCCGTACGACTACTCGGATACGTCGACGCCGACCACGCGGGAGACAGCGAAAATCGACGGTCTAGGACGGGCTACATCTACCGACTAGAACCTATCGGAACTATCTCCTGGCAGTCGAGCAAGCAGGAGTTAATCGCACTATCCTCGGCTGAAGCAGAGTATATCGCCCTTTGTACTGCGACCAAGGAAGGACTCTACCTACGAGAGTTACTCGAAGAAGCGAAGATCGCGACCCTGCCCGCCTTCTCACTCCTCTGCGACAACCAATCTGCGATCAAAATCGCGAACAAGGACGGCTTCGCCAATCGAACCAAGCACATCGCCCTGCGGTACTTCTTCGTCAAGGATGAAATCGCGAAGGGGAGACTTCAACTCAGTTACTGCCCGACGACAGAAATGGCCGCAGATTATCTGACGAAGAAATTGGCGAAAGCAAAATTCGACTACTGCATGCTCCTAACCGGGCAAACAAACGCCACCAGATCTGAACACTCCAGCACTCCAGAAACGAAGGGGAGTGTTGGAAATATCTCAAGGACTTAAGCGTTTCTGAAGTGTAACACTGTACTCGAGGAAGACTACAGGGGAGCACGCGAGTCAACGGAGGTTACACGAGGGGGCGGACAAAGAATGCGAAAGGACTCGAAAGGTCGCAACTGGAGGTTGCGACTGACCGTTACAACATCACGGATGGTAACCGAAGCGGCAATCGAGTCGCTGTGCGACTCGATAAACCGTTCCTGTAACTGTATTCTACAACTGCTTTCTTATCTACTATATATTGCTGTATGCTTGTTTCTTTAATCAATCACTTGTTCTCACATACTAGTACAAGGGTTCAACCGTCTCAACTTCCGCTGCACTACTCCAAGTCTCAAGTCTCTACAAGCTGGGACTTAGTCTCTGCAAAAGATCCTAAGGGCTTTTCTCAGCCCAACAAAATTATATAAGTTATAATTTAATATAGGCTTGGTAGGTTGTTACTGAACCTTTCTGTAGAGGGTACAAACCCCTTCTTGTACTCCTCTCTCTTCCTAATCAAACCCCTTTTCTTCTCGACATTCTCTCCCTTCCTAGATCCGTTTTCCTCACGCCATTCCATGGCGGCCTTCTTCCTAGTATTCTAGCCAACCTAGCCTCATAAGTTTAAGAACCTTGAGTCCTAAGTTTCTAAGATGGTATCAGAGCAGGTCGTATCCACCGGACCCTCTCCCTACGTTCCCGTTGCGTACTCCCGCTGCATTCGCAATCTTCGCGGTTTTCTGCCTGCCTGCCGTCGAGGCATCAAGTAGTCGCGACGGCCCCTTGTTGCCTGCCGTCGCGGCACCAAGCTGTCGCGACGGCCCCTTGTTGCCTGCCGTCGCGACACCAAGATGTCGCGACGGCCCCTTGTTGCCTGCCGTCGCGGCACCAAGCTGTCGCGACGGCCCCTTGTTGCCTGCCGTCGCGGCCAAGGTGTCGCGACGGCCCCTTGGTGCAGCCGTCGCCCGTCCGCCTCGCCGCTGCGGCATTGACGGTGCGCTGTGGCGGCGTCTAGGGCAGCCGCTGGCATCGTCGGACTGCGGCCGGCCGAGCGACGTCTGTGACGCAGCCGGACCTGCCGCCCGCTCGCCAGCCACGGGCGTCCCTCTGGACGCCGTCCTCCCGCCAGTAAGCGCCGCGCCACTTATGGCGCGTCGCTGAAGACTCGCCTCGCCCCGCCCCCTCCCCTCCCCCCCCCACCTGCACCTGCTTCCCCTGCATCCCCCCCTTTCTTGCTGCAGCCGATGACTGCCTTATGAGGGACCTCTCCACCGCCGAGGAGATAGGACATGCCGCCGAGAGGGCGGGGGCCGCCGCACCAGCCTCTGTCGTTCGAGCCACCGGCGCCGCCGCTGTTGCCGCAGGCCTGGAGCCGCCGCACACCGCCGCCGCCGCCGCTGTCGTCACTGTCGCTGCTGCTGCCATTGCCGTCTCAAGGGGCCGTGAGACCTACCCTCTTCCGGAGTCGTTGCGGCTCCTGCTGGGAATGGGGGTGCTGGGCTAGGGGGTGTGGGTGTGGGTGTGGGTGTGGGGGTGTGCGTGGGCTTGACACTACCAAGCCTAGGGGGTGTGTTAAAATTATATAAGTTATAATTTAATATAGGCTTGGTAGGTTGTTACTGAACCTTTCTGTAGAGGGTACAAACCCCTTCTTGTACTCCTCTCTCTTCCTAATTAAACACCTTTTCTTCTCGACATTCTCTCCCTTCCTAGATCCGTTTTCCTCACGCCATTCCATGGCGGCCTTCTTCCTAGTATTCTAGCCAACCTAGCCTCCTAAGTTTAAGAACCTTGAGTCCTAAGTTTCTAAGATGCTATGCATGCTAAGCCAATCGCCGGCACACCTTGCATGTCAAGGTTTCTACCATGTGGCTAGGCATCAATAACACAGTTGACCGCAGTTGTTGCAGCCACTGGTGAGGTGACGCACCATGTCGAGACAAGCAATGCTCCAACCACCTGTCAACTTAGGGTGAATTCCTATAAAGTAGGATCAGAATCAATAATGTTCCTGACCAGGCCCCCAAAATGCAGCCTTTTTACACTGATTCAGCCTTTTTTCAGGCCTTTTTCTAGTACCTACGCAGATCGCTCAGCCTTTTTTTTACCCTTAGCCTGATTTTTCAGCAAAGTTTTGTGTTCCTACTGTAATATTTTGACAGGTGTTGCAGGAGACTAAGTATAGAATCTGCAAACACGAACACTTGAAAAACCTCAAGTGTTAGCCTAGGATCTTTATTGGAATGGTAGACTAGTAAGACAGTGGAAGTCTTGTAAGAGTGAACCTGAGTATATGTTTTTGCAGAAGTTAAGTCTCAAAGTTCTCAAAGTTGAAATCTCAAGGTTAATAATAAAAAGGATAGAACAAAGATTTATAGCTCTAGGAATGTACAGTGGCGGAAACAAGCTCGTCAAAATGTAAAAATATGCTAAACATGTGGACAATTGTTTCCGCCACTGTACATTCCTAGAGCTATAAATCTTTGTTCTGTCCTTTTTATTATTAACCTTGAGATTTCAACTTTGAGAACTTTGAGACTTAACTTCTGCAAAAACATTGAGATTTGTAAACTAGTTGAATTTAACAATGCAGTGTTCGGTTTGTGATCAGTCGGTAGTGAGCGGTACGGTTTAGAGACTGCAGTAGGGGTGAGGTTGAAGCGGGCAGCGAGCGTCGCAGCGTACTTCGAAGCGGTGAGATGAATAGACGTCGGTGAACAGGTAATGTTTAGACCGAGAAACTGTGAGACTGTTTCGGAGACGATAAGCTGTAGATTTTTCGGTAGTTTCAGTATGAAGATATCGGCGAGTGAATCAGTAGTGCTGACGTAGAGAATGTCGTCGACATAGGCGACGAGTAAAATATAGTTGCTGCCGTCGGTTAGAAGATACATTCCCTGGTCATGCGGCAGCTGACGAAATTCAGCCGTGATCAGCTGTGCGTGGAGATACTGCTGCCAGAGCCGTGGTGCCTGTTTAATGCCGTATAGCGATTTTCGGAGACGGCATACGCTCGGTGGGTTAGTAGCATAGGAATGCGGGTACTCTACCAGTATGAGTGCGTCTACGGGCGCGTAGAGAAACACATTTGACACGTCGATTTGTCGAAGTCGTAGATTACGGCTGGCGGCGACACAGAGTAAAATCCGAATGCTAGTATGTCGACCGACAGGAGCAAAAGTTAGTTCGTAGTCGATGCTGTAAGTCTGCTCGAACCCGCGGACGACCCATCGCGCCTTGAATTTCTCAAACGACCCATCTGCATTAGTCTCGACGCGGAAGACCCATTTTCCAGTAAGTACCTTCTTCCGTTTTACTTCTGAAGTCGGTATTAAATCCCATGTGCCACGATTCTTAAGAGGTGCTAGCTCCTTGTTCATGGCTTCGCGCCATTTTTCTCGGTGAGGACTCAGGTGTCTTACTGTCGTTGTACTGTACTGCGACTGCAAATCCAAGTATCTGTAATCCTGTTTCTGTAAAACGCGGCATTCTTCGTTTGCACCTGCGAAATTTTCTTCTGGTCCTTCTTCCCCCCCAATTTCGTCAGGTGTAACACGAACTGCTTCATCAGAAACGGCGGGCATCGGCTGCTGTTGGCGATCGCGTTCGTAACTGAGGTGGACTTCGCGAACATCATCCTGGTCAGCATCTGCACGAGGAATAAATTCTGGTATGCCGGTCGAGGTGACAGATTCGGGAATGTGTGTTGCGCCGGCAACTTCGGAAGCTTCAGAAACGGCCTCGTCCTGTACATCAGCTTTGGCTTCGTCAGTTGCAAATGCATGCGAGCCTTCGAACAGCCTGGCGGGGTTGGCAGCTGCTGCCTGGTGAGCACGAAAAACGGCCAAGGTGAGTCTTTCATAGAAGATACAATCACGTGATGGGACGATTTGGTTGGAGCGAAGATCCAAAATCTTCCATGCGTGATACTGTTTTTCGATGCCGAGATGTACCCCCCATTTGGCTCGTTCCGAAAATTTGCTGAGTGATGCAGTGGGAGGATGAAAATGCACGACACATCCGAAAATTCGTAAAAGTTTGGTACTTCCCACTGTTCCTTGTCCACTGCAGGTGCGGGGAGAAAAATTCGGGCAGTGACGTGGAAGACAGCAGGTTGTGTAACAGCACGGCGTAGTCCATTGCATACGGCCAAAAACGAGGAGGAAGAGCTGCCTGCGTCAGGAGAGCATGCATCTTCTCTTGCAGAGTTCGGTTCATCCTCTCTGCTACCCCCATCTGTTGGTGTGCATGCGGCAGTGACTGCTTCCGTTTGATACCGAGGGTCTGAAGATATTTTGTGAAAGTGTTGCTGGTGTACTGCCCTGCACCATCACTCTGGAATTCTTGCAGTTTCACCCCAGACTCTCGTTCAGCGACGGCGAGCCATGCGACGAAGACGGAATGGGCGAGATACCGAGCGGGAAGGTTTGATGTCCAGACGTAGCGTGTAGATGCTTCGATGAATGTTATCACATACTGCTCGTCTTTAGGTCCTGCTTCAGGTAAATTTAGTATGTCGCTGTAGACTTTCTGCATCAGTTTATAACGTATTGAGCCAGGAAAATGACTTGGAAACGGGTCGTGGATAAGATTGGCGACCGGACACGTGGTGCAAACCGTTGGACGAGTCTGCGGCTTCATCTCGGTGCCGTCAGGTAAGAGAAGACTATTTTTATCAAGAACTGCTGCTCGGATTGAATGATTAAGAATCCCTTATAATGGATGTCCTAACCGCTGATGCCGGATATCTTCTGTGGCTTTGTGTCCTGATGATCGCAGGTAGAAATCGGCGTTAGTATAAAATGAAGAAATAATAAAAGAAGACAGCGCTGGTGACCTGTTAATCTCCCCTTCGACGAAATGTGTAAGTGGTAACGGAACATTTGAAGGTGCTGCTACAGTTGCGATTACAACTTCTGATGCTGCTTGTGTTGATGTTGTGGCAGTTGTTTCTACGACAGCTACTGTTGGACACGACAGCTCAGCGACTTCTTCCTTTTCGGCTTCTTCAACGACGACAGGTTCATCAGCTGCAAGGCCACTAATTTCTCCCCAAAGTGGAGCTGGAGTCCCTTGAAGAGCCTCACGAGTAGTGTAAAATGTTCGCCAAGCATTGGCGCCGGCATCGGCGGTACTGAACTCCCAGGTATCCAATGCGGTAAGTACGGCGGCTGCAGTTCGAGAAGCAGCTGGTACAGTAGCTGCTCGAAAATCAATATCCACGTGCTGATAATCTGTTTCTTCTGGGTGATCCCAGGGACCAAGTGCAAGGACGCGTTCAGAATCTCCAGAAGTTCCCTGTGCCGTGAACTGAAGAATGGACACGCCATGTTGAGTGGTGGCACGACCGAGGTAAGTATTCGATAAACTGTGCCATAACTCCTGATCCATTGTATCACAGTTGCCTTGAGTGCGTATTTTGTGTGCCAGGAGCTGAGCCGTGGAGAGAAGATTGAAGCCAAGCCCAGCGACGATAAGAACATTGGTAACGTGTAGTGAATATCCCGTGTCGACTGATTCGAGCATAACACTTCCAATGGATCTTGCCATAATAGTTGTCCGTTTGCAACTGTGACATGTATCGGACGACGAAGTAGGCGCTGGTTGGTGATAAAGCTTGTCTCAGCGGAACACATGTGCCAACCGCAGCAGCTGTCGAGATACCAAGTATTCGGACCTGAAATTATTCGAGCAAGGTTAGCGTAAACTTGAGGTAAGGGAATGCCTTCAGCACTTGTGGTTTCTTCAAGTCGTGTTTCGAAATCTGTTTCTGAGACATCAACTGTTGTAACACATCCAAAGACCCCTTTCCCTGATGTTGCAGATGCAAAGACCGGAGGACGATGGTGTGACGACGAGGTATTCGGAGGTGGTTTTTGCATCTGCTGCGTCTGGATCATCGTCTGCTGCGTTGACTGAGGTGTTTTTGGTAACTGCTGCGAGCCGTGATACGGCTGTGAAGTGCTGCGACGGTTTTGATGGCGGCTGCGACAATTTTGGTAAGTATGTCCTGGTTTTTTGCAAAAATGACAGAAAGGATACTTCGGGGGAAGTCGTTGCTGCGATTCTGGATTTGAGGTAAAACTCAAAGTGTATTCCCATTTTCTGATTGCGTTGTGACCGCAGGCCCAGATTTTGCTGTTCGGCTTGAAGATACAAAGAAATCTCAGCTTCGGAGAGATCTGGATTCATGCGCAGGAAGGCGCGCATCTGTCGCCATTCGGGTCCAAGGCCAGCAAGAAGGACAGTGAGATACATCTCACGAGGGAAGTATCCCCCACTCTTTTCCAGTTGATCACGGAGTGTACGGACGCGGTTGACGTAATCCATGACGTTCTCGTTTGTCATCACCTGCACACTTGTCAACTGCAAAAGAATCTTACTCACTGTTATTGTATCTTTTGCCATGTATACCCCCTTCAAGTGGTTCCATGTAGTTTCAGCTAGTGTAAAGCTTGAATGAAACGATCGGACGCCGAGCTGCTCCTTTGGCGACAGGTTCCGAACAAGAACTGTATACGCCCCAAGAGAGGCGTGTAAGAAACTCTGCTGCTCCAGTTGTGTTCCCACGACAGGATAAGTAAACTCGCCGGTGAAGAACGGCCATAGCCCAGCAGACTGCGCAAGAAGCTACAACTCGAAACTCCAAGAGTAAAAATCCACTCCGTTAAAAGGTATGGTTGTCTTGATCTGTGTACTGTTAAGCAAATTTGGCGGTTGAAAAATAATACCCGGTTGTTGTGGCTGTTGCTGTTGCTGCTGTTGTTGTTGCTGTTGTTGCTGTTGCTAAAACTGTTGTGGCTGTTGTTGTTGTTGCTGTTGCTGAGCAGGGGAACGGCCAAAGATGTAAAAGGGATGCTGCTGCTGCTGTTGTGACTGCGGCTGCTGCACAAAAGGTGAGAAAACGAATGAACCAGAACTTGGAGCTGAGGCTCCACGCATATAACTCGAGCCGTCAAGGCTCATTCCACTGAACGCAGAATTATAGATTAAGTTGAAAACGGTGGTTGTGCTTATGCCTGTTGCTGTACTGATGCTTGTTGTTGTGCTGTTGTCTATGTTTGTTGGTGCTGTGCTGCAGGGGCAGTTGATGACATCCCTGGAGTACTGACAGAAGACGGATTTCTCTGTTGTTGCTGCTGCTGCTGCTGCTGCTGCATACCGATATGTGCATAAGCCGGTGGAAACAGTCCAGAGGCTGAGAGACCAGAGGCGGTCGTGGAGACATGTACTCCAGTAGTTCCGGAAGTTGATCCGGTAGACGGTGCTGGTGATGAACCAGTCATTGTTGATAGTAGTCTTAATTCCAGATAGCTCTCATACCATGTAATATTTTGACAGGTGTTGCACGAGACTAAGTATAGAATCTGCAAACACGAACACTTGAAAAAACCTCAAGTGTTAGCCTAGGATATTTACTAGAATGGTAGACTAGTAAGACAGTAAGAGTGAACCTGAGTATATGTTTCTACAGAAGTTAAGTCTCAAGGAACAGGTGGGGGGAAACCGGGAGACCTCGGTGAGGGAAGCGACGGTGGAAGGAGACGGACTCGTCAAAGGTGACGTCACGAGAGTGGAGGAAGTGGTGAGACTGCGGGTGGTAGAAGAGCCAGTCAGACGAGTCCAGGGGGAAACCAAGGAAGACACAGGGGACAGTGCGGGCAGTGAGCTTGTCCGTGCCAGAGGCACGAACGTGAGCAAGGCAGCCCCAGACGTGGAACGCAGACGCGTCACCGGGGGACCCGGTCCAAAGGAGGGTCGGTGAAACCTGCGGCCGCTGGGAGCGTGGCCACAAGTTAAGCTGGTGAGCGGCATAGCGAACGGCGAACGGCCACAGAAAATGGGGTGCACTGGCATGGATCATGGAGGTACGAGCCACCTCCATGACCAAGCCGATGCGGCGCTCAGCAACCCCATTCTGCTGTGGCGAGTTCGGCAAGGTGTACGACTAGGTGATGCCCTCCGCACGACAGAATTGTCTAAGCCGACCAGAAGCGAACTCGCCGCCACGGTCAGAGTGGAGACACAACACGGGGAGACCGTGGTGAAGACGCGCAGCCAAAACCCACGGGAGAAGAACGTCAGGCACGTCGGCCTTCCGCTCCATGGGAAACACCGTGGTGTAGCGCGTGTAGTCGTCGACGAGCACAAGAAAGCAGCGCTCGCCACGCGGTCTGGGGACGGGGGCTGGGCCCCAAACGTCCAGGTGCAGGGTCTGAAGGGGAGCAGTAGCAGGGCGAAGCGAGGAGGAGTGAGGGGCACGTCAGAGCCGGCCCTCGACGCAGGGCGTGCACGGTGGAGCAGTCAAGAGGGGAAGGGCGGGGAGCGACGCAGGGAGGCCTAAGACAAGACCGTGCTGGGACATGTGACGCACATGCGGGAGTGCAGGGTGACCTAGGCGGTGGTGCCACAAAAGGGACGGGTGAGTGAGAGACCGACACGAGCAAGCTGCAGCGACCTGGGAGGACGCACCAACCGAAGGGGGAGTGGTGTCGAGGGTAAACAGACCGGACACCGGGTCCTGGGGGAACGTCGCAAGAGGGGAACCCGTCGCAGCCTCGGTACAGACAGCAAACCGCTCGTGCCCAGGGAACGTGGTGGTGACGCCGAGGTCCTGAAGACAGCCGACACCAACCAGGTTCCTGGAGAACGAGGGAACGTGGAGGCCGGTAAGGGAGCCGGAGGGAACGGCGGTACAGGGAAGGGAAGTGGAGCTGCGAGCGATGACAGGACCAGCAGAGGGGTTGGCGAGTGCGACAACAGCAGGCGCAGCAAGCGGTGTGAGCGTGGAGCGGTCGCGGAAGAAACAGGCAGAAGCACCGGAGTCGAGAGTGAAGGACAGCGAGGCAGTGGCGGAGGCTGGGAACGGAGCTGGTGCAGAACCTAGGCTAGGCAAACTAGGCAGTCCTACGCCTGACACAGCAGGGGAGGCTAAGCTACACAAGGGTGAGACACCTAAACTAGAGTACACAGGGTAATAAGATCCAGCAACACTAGATGCGTCAGCATACAAAGCATGCAAAGCAGCACCTATCTGATCCATATCTAACTCCAAGATCGGCACGCCCTGGCGAAGCAGGCTGTGCCAGTCGGGGAGGTCCGGGGCCGGGCCAAAGCGACGACGAAAGAGATCGTCGAGGCGGCGGAAACAGCGGGCGGTCGGGTGTGGGCGGCGGCAGAGAGTGCCGCGGAGAGGCCCGGTCTGAAGCTGGTACTGGCAGGTCACAGCACTAAAGCTGTCGGTAGACGCCAAGCTGCGCGGGCCACCACCTCGGCCTCTACCGCCGGAGGTGCCGGGCCAACCAGGTGGGAGACGAGCCCACGGCTGCGATGGCTGCTGCTGGGATGGCGGCGGCTGCTGCTAGGGCTGCTCCGGCTGCGAAGGCGACTGCGTCTGCTCCTGCCCACCAGTGGTAGTCCCCTCAGGTGGACTACCGTCACCACCACCAGTGCCACCACCACGACCTCCCTGGCGGCCACGGCCACCGCGGCGCGGACGCTGCTGCGGGTGGACCGCAGCAGCTATCTCGGTAAGGGGGGTCGCAGTGGCGACCGCAGCCGAAACATCAGTAAACGTGCCCTGGGAGGGGGCACAGCCGTGAAAGATAGAGACTGCCGGCGCACCTCTCGACTGAGCGATAGTGCACTGGTGCGTCTATGTCTCGGTGAGGGTGTCGACAAAGGCGGTCAGTGTGAGGTCACCCGGGTGCTGGCTAAGGAAGCGGTCGCGGGCACTAGCTAGGCGGTCCGGCAGGCGCATGGCGATAAAATAGAGGGTCATGCAGAATGGGGGGGGGGGCGCAGTGAGCTGGGCAGCAGTGCAGGCAGTGCGATAGCGAGTCTCTAGGGCACACAAGTGAGTGGCAAAGTCTACGACAGTAGGGAAGGCAGCAAGGTCTGAGAACAGCATCGGAAAGAGCAAGCGGCCGGCAGAAGCGGAGGCAGGTGTGGAATAGCGAGCAATAACGGCGTCTAAATAAGCTTTGGCCATATCAAGTGTAGCAAAACGCGTGCGCTCAGACACAGGGAGGGCGTGACTGATAGCAACCTGAGCTACTGCATCGTGGGAGTCCCATACCGCATAGGCAAGGGCAGCAGTAGAGAAGGCCTCACGGTCATCAGAGGAGGGGTCAGCAGGAAGGGGAGCAGGTGTAGGGGGGCGGGGGAGTAAGCCATCAGCATGGACGACCAAGGAGTGGCCATCCTGGCGCTGACCTGTAATGTGTCGGCGGAGGTCGGAGAGCCAGGTGGCGAAGTCAACCGCGTGGCCCTCAGCGTCCAGACGGAGCACAAAGTCAGCCATCGTAAAGGGTCAGCGACAGAGCTGCTCAGCGACACAGCAGCACAGCTCCACAGCTCCTCACGAGCACAGTGGCGCGGGGACACGGCGGCAGCACTCTCCAGCAGGGCGGCAGCGAGGCGCCCCCGAGCGGGCGAGCAGAGAAGACGGGGCCCGAGGTGGCACGGCAGGCCGAGCAGGAACGAAGAGGGGCCGGGCGGGCAGTAGGAGGGGCCGGGCAGACGCTGGAAGTCAGGGAGGCGCGACGGGGCAGGGCGGGCGCTAGGAGCCTGACGGGCGCAAAAGGGGCGGGACGGCACTAGGAAAGGGGGGGGGGGCGGGCCGGCGCTAGAAGAGGCCGAGAGGGCGCTAGGAGGGGCCGGGCGGTCGCTAGGAGTGGCCGGGCAGGCGCTAGGAGGGGCTGGGCGGGCGCACTGGGACCGGGCGGGCGCTAGGAGGGGCCTAGCAAGCGCGGGGCGGTCGGGCAGGCGCGACTGGGGGCCGGGCGGGCGCGAGGAGGGGCTGGGCGGCGCTAGGAAGAGGTCGGGCGGGCGCTGCTGGGGCCGGCCAGGAGCGGGCGTGTGGGGCCAGAGGGGCCAGCTAGGAGCGGGCGCGACGGCCAGTGGGGCCAGCTAGGGGTGGGCGCGAACGGCCAGGGGGCCGGCTAGGAGCGGGCGCGAACGGCCAGGGGGGCGGCTGAGGGCGGACGTGACGGCCAGGGGGCCGGCTAGGGGCGGACGCGACGGCCAAGGGGCCAGCTAGGGGCGGACGCGACGGCCAGAGGGCTGGCTAGGGTCGGTCGCGACGGCCAGGGGGGCCAGCTAGGGGCGGACGCGACGGCCAGGGGGCCGACTAGGGGTGGACGCGACGGCCAGGGGGACGACTAGGGGCGGACGCGACGGCCAGGGGGCCAGCTGAGGGCGGATGCGACGGCCAGGGGGCCGACTAGCGGCGGACGCGACGGCCAAGGGGCTAGCTAGGGGCAGACGCGACGGCCAGGGGGCCGGCTAGGGGCGGACGCGACGGCCACGGGGCCGACTAGGGGCGGACGCGACGGCCAGGGGGCCAACTAGGGGCGGACGCGACGGCCAGGGGGCCAGCTGAGGGCGGACGCGATGGCCAGGGGGCCAACTAGGGGCAGACGCGACGGCCAAGGGGCCGACTAGGGGCGAACGCGACGGCCAGGGGGCCAGCTAGGGGCGGACACGACGGCCAGGGGGCCGACTAGGGGCGGACGCGACGGCCAGGGGGCCGACTAGGGGCGGACGCGACGGCCAGGGGGCCAGCTGAGGGCGGACGCGACGGCCAGGGGGCCGACTAGGGGCGGACGCGACGGCCAAGGGGCCGACTAGGGGCGAACGCGACGGCCAGGGGGCCAGCTAGGGGCGGAC